GGCAGACCCAAATTGACATATATATACGCAATCACGGTATTAAATTTTTATCTATATATGAACATTTTTATGTCTATAACTAGATATCAACATGAAAGATGAATTGACATTTTTATATATCTATAACTCAATATCGACATGAAAGATGAATTAACATTTCCATAATATATCCTGTAAAAAGAAAGTATTTCCATAATGTATGTTTATCAATAAAATAAAAAAGAAAATCACTAATATAGATGTAACTTATTTAAAAATGGAAGGATGTTTATTTGTAAATTTAAATATTTATTATGGATTTTTTATTTTTACAATTTTTCAAGAAATATCTATCAACGTCAACATTTCCATGCAATTCAAATCTTGGAATTTTTTAAAAATCTTTGTATGCAACTTTTTGAAACGTTCTCGATTAAAATGGGTGTTTAAAAGAAAGGACGAATATATTATCAGAATATATATAAAAAAAGCATATTGTAAAGCAAAATTGGTGGCTAAACGTTATATATTCAGGTCTCAAAGTCTTGGTTATATATATATTCTCTCCACTTGTAAAGCATAGTAGAATTTGTGCATTACTTGGGTATATATATCTTTTTGGAAAAAAAAAACTATATATTATTTATTAAGATAGAAAAATCTCATCATATTTTGATAAGATTTTAAATTTGGTTTCTTCTAATCTTATCAAAACCCACAAAAGAAATAGTTTTTTTAGTTGTTTTATACCTAAGTTATATGGGGTGTTATTTTGTATCTCGAAAAGATGGAAGATACTTTTATATACTAACTCAAGAAAGTTTTCGAGTGCTTGATAGTTGTATAGAATAATTAAGACGGAATTTAATTTCTATTTTTCTTATCTAATATAATAATATATTCACAATTTTACATGACTAGGCCTCCAAAGTTTACCATTTTTTTTTCTCGAACATGCGAGGATTCCATTTATGTGGCTATCTTCAGTGTATAACCACGATACCTGTGTGCTTGTGAGGATTCCATTTCTGTGGCTATCTTCAGTGTATAACTACGATACCTGTGTGCTTGTGAGGATTCTATTTCTGTGGCTATCTTCGGTGTATAACTATGATACATGTGTGCTTGTTGAGATTTAAGTACGTACAATTATTTTGACACCATTATTATACCAACAACGTTATCTTCTTAGGTAGAGACAAAAAAATAAAAAATAAAAAATAAAATTTTGGGAAAGTAAAATTTTACATTTTAACTTTTCATATATATAATCATTTCCTTCTAAAAAAAATTAGGAGGGTAGATCAAAGATAAAATTTTAAGATCTTAACGTTTTTATTAATTTTCTGAATATAAGGTAAATCATGTTCTATCGCCTTTCTTTATTCCACCTTCGATTATATCTTTACTTATTTATCTAAGAATTTTAATTATTTTTAACCAATATGTGACTATAAGTTCAAATTCTCTATAGTCTTGATTGGATATTCGAGTGTGCACTATATTTAGTGAATTAAAGTTCGAAAAAATCAATTGTATTTTACTAATAATCGTAAGATTATCTCGAACTAATTATTCTACCATTTTCTTAAATTTAATTTGGAAATGAACATCCATAAATAAATAATTCTAGAAGTTCACATGCAAAGTTTTCTTCCAGTATTATATGTATTATTGGACATATTCATTTGATCAAGTGGTCTAAAATTAAATATTTCTTGTCTCCAATAATCGTTTTGTCACATGTTAGTCAAGCATATTATATGCATTATTGAACATTTTCATTTTATTAATATATATGACTAAATAGTGTGTATATATATATATTTTTTTTCTTTCCAAAATAAATATTTCTTGTCTCCATGATCGGTTCAAAGTTATAATATTTATAAATAGGGACGGCAGAGCGAGATGTCACTCAACAAAATATTTTTTTAGAAAGAAACAATAGCTTTCTTTTAGAAAGCTTTGAGAGGAAGATTATATTAAATTTTTGAAAGGTAAATTACTTTACAATAATACCCTCTGTTTGTAAAAGGAGATTAAATATATATTATATATCTTATAATAGTTAATTTTATTCAACTTTCATGTTGATTAAGAAAAACATGTGACATGCCTTAATTAAAGATAATAATAAAGGAAAGAGGGAAATTATGGGGGTTAGTAAAATGAGTGCTCTCTAGGCTCCACATATCAAGGATAAATGGATATCTATAAAGTTTAAAAGAGGGTTTTCTTTGTTATAATAAAAAWTAATAATTAAATTAAACTTTTTTTGTCTTTGTATTTTTACTTTTATGTGGGGTGAGAGTTTCGGCACACGACCTTAATTTGGTTGGGAGATATACATACTTTAACAAGTTGAAACGGATTGTTGGTTTTTTGTGTTAACAATAGTAACATTTCATTATATTTTTATTAAGAAACATTGAAATTATAGATTTAGTACAAATTAAAGATAAAATTAAAACTTAATTGGAGAAAATATATAAATGAAATTGATGCACATGTTGAAGTTGAAGATATGAATGAAATGGATATACCTTATTTTTATAAGAATATAGATGAAGATAGAGTCTTAAATAAAAATTCAAATTTAATTGAATTAACTAATTTCAACATACATAATCGACTTAATATTAGTGAAAGATAGGAGTGTAAGTAAGTTGATTTAGGTTGATTTTAGGTCAAAATATTAATGTTAAGACCCTTTTTTTAACCAGTCTCGTCAATTCATTCATTTCTAATAGTAATCGAGGTTAGAAAAATTCGAAATGAAAATTTGGAATTGCACGTTCCTAATTGTCATGAAAAAGAAAGATGGGAATAAGAAAAATCGTATTATTCTCTCAGAGCTTGTCTAGTACTAATACGATAAGAGATACGTCTCGTTTGCCCCCGTCACCCAATAAAATTGAACAAAACTAATCAAAAATAGGTTAAACCGACTAAAATCTGTTCATTTTGAACCGACATAAAATATATAAACATCCATACTCTATATCCTCCAAGAACATCTCTCCATGTGCAATCAATTGGAAAATGAGGAAGAAAGGTGTGGAAGTTTTTCCCCAATGGAGAAAAGTTTTCCACTTATAACTTGTGGATTAGAAAAAAAAAATGAAGCTTTGAACTTTGAAGGAATTGCTCTCTCTCTCTTCTCTCTCTTTTTGGAGAGAGAGAAAAGGCAAAATCACTATCTAGCTTAGGTTGTTTAGTAGACCCTCATCTCGACACGTGGCAACAAAGCATTGGGTTGTCGGCAGAATGAGTCAACATTTTGTATACTTTGGGTTTGAAAATTGGAAAGTACAAAGTAAAAAACAAATAAAATAAATAAATAATTAGTGATGTAATGTGGGAGACAAAGTGGCGACATAACATTTTAGTCCTAAGTGGATCCCCATTTCTTCTTTACAACCCTTATAATACATATATACACACATGTGATTTTCTCTTTCAACATAATTTTTATTTTAGGTTTTAAATATTATTTTGATTCGGGTAGTTTCAGCTTTGGTTTATTTTGGTCTTGGTACTTTCAAAATATTTATTTTGGTCTATATACTTTCGACTTTAATTTATTTTTAACTAATTTGAATATAACTCAACATATATTTCTGACTAAGAGGTCGTGGGTTTCAAAACCCCTATTCCCACATAAAGTTGTACTAAACAAAATTTTTTTGTTCATGATAAAGCTCACCTCGACCTAAACCCAAAGTTCCATGAGAGAGGTCGTGTAAGTCTAAAGGATGAGCTATCTTGATGAAGCTCACATCGACCTAAAATGCAAGTCTCT